ATAAATAAATGGAAGGAAGGAAGGAAGGAAGGAAGGAAGGAAGGAAGGAAGGAAGGAAGGAAGGAAGGAAGGGGAGTAAGACGGTGACACGTTTTCTTCTTGGGGCATCCACAATCTGCTTCTTAATTTTTATTGCATCTAAGGAGCAAACAACCTAGAACTGTTTGGAGTCAGGTGGCCCCTGCATTATATGAACAAGTAAATAAAAGATAAGATAAGGAAAAGGAATACAGCTAATTCTGTATCTTTGTTTTATTTTGGCATTCTGTTTACTTCTGTATGTGATGCCTGGCCGTACACAATGCACACGCTAAGTGCATTTTTTCATGTAACTGAAAAGTCGCAGTCCGTGTCCTTGGTGCCTCTGACAGTCATGCCCTAAAGTGGGCTAAGTTAAGACAGGGCTGAGCCAGATGGCAGATCTCATGCCTGTCATTTGCTTAGCACCAGAGAAGCCTAAGTTAGGAACCAAGGGGGGAAAGGGGGCACTTTCCAAACTGCAGGGGGGAGAGGAAATAGAAAAGGGCACCAGGTTTCAACATTAGAGACCACTTCCGATTTTGATCTGCAAAAGATGCTTCAGAAGTCAAGGGCTCACAAACGGAGCATTTGTCTGCAATGCCACGGCTTTGAGAAGTTGCAGACAGGTGTTACCCATGTGCTCCTCCATGCTCCAGAGCCCCTTTTGGAGACTGCACCCACCCAGGGTCTCCCAGCCTTCATAGAGGACCAGGTATCACAAACATCTGGGAGGCTAGACATTCAAATGAACTTGGGTTATGAGCCCTGGGCATTGACCGCGAGAGATTATTAGTAACCATAGCAAGAGAGTAACTAACAAATGTCTAAGAATGTCATATCCGTGGTGATGAAGTCATTGACGTATTGCTGGCCCTTGCAGGGACCAAGTCATTCTGAAAACGTCCTGGCAGACCACCATCCCCAGTTCAAGTATGAGCCAGAAGATTACACCTTCTCGTCATCCGCCATGCCCCAGCAGTCGGGACTAAGCGTTGCCCCCCGTCAAGACTCATGGTGCGCGTTGGCCCTGGCCTAGGCAGCCAGTTTTCCATTCTGAAGCCAGGAAAGAGGCTACAGAAGAATGCCTTCGATCCCCCTTCAAGATCACTGGAGAGCAGACAAAGACTTCCCGGCTGTAATCCTTTGGATCTGTCCGGTTTCTTGTAATCAGCATGGTTCTCTGTTCCTCAAGGCTGATAAATTTCTTCTTCCCTGCGGAGGCTGCAGCATGCGGTCCGCTGCCACCAACTCTGTTGGCCCTCTGAATTTCTGAAAGTTGATATCCTTTCGCCAATCAAAGGAAGGGACTGGGAGCTCCGACCTCAGGCACAAGTCTCCCTCTCTCCCTTCTCTTGAGATCCATCCAAAAGAAATAGAATCTATGTTTTGTTCACGGTGATTCTTCTCTTCCTCCCCACCCCCTTTTTTTTAATGACTCCCTTGTGTGCAATTTTACTCCACTTCCTAATAAAGACTATGCTAGCATATGACACCAAGTCATTTAATTTATTGAAATTTAAACAGGGCTGCCTCCCTCACATGCGCTGTGAGGCAAAGGCGGAAGAATGGAATAAAACAACAAAAAACCCTGTGTTTCTCTCTCTTACAAACACACACACATAAATCCCCTCTCACTCCTCTGGGTGATATGTGTCTTCCTCAATCTCGAGTCCTCTACCAGAGGCCTGGGAGTTTGAGGATTCTGCGCAGTATCTGAGCTGTTCCTAGCCCTGCACTCTTCTGGACAGAGAGCTCGGAGGTTGTTCCTGGGATCTGTGGGAGCCTTTCTCCCGGCTTAGGAGTCACAGCCCCGAGTGCTCCGACCACCATGGGGACCACTTTGGCATGTATGTAATCCTTCTAACAGTGTTAGTTTCAGGGGTTCCTAAAAAGTTCACGTCTCCTTTGAGTTGAGCTTGATTTCTGGTGAATTCATGACATGTCCTCCTCTTCTTCTGGAATGTTTTTCAAGTTGTCAGTCCAGCCTGGGATTTCCAGTGATGTGCTATTCAACTTTCTTACCAGGCCTAGCCTTGCTTAGCTTTTGAGCCTACACAAGGTCAATGAGATGTTGCCACCTGTTGAGATGTGGGGTGCCTAATTAATCACCATTCTAAAAAAGCTGTAAATGGATGTTCCCAAGCACGGCTCTTTCCTGTGCAAACTCGGAGGGGGAAAGCCTTTTAGCATTTCGTCATGCTACAGCAAGGCTGGGGACCTGTGGTCTTCCCTATGTTGCTGAATTAAAACTCTGCACCCTCAACAAGGCCATGCTGGTTGGAGAGCCTGGAATTGTCATTCAGCAACATCTACAGAACTACACAAACTAGGATGAGCATTGCAGATCAAGGCACATCAGTGAGAGCCACCACTGTTTCCCCAGAATCCTCTTTATAAACTCTGTAACACTCTTGTTCTAGGGAATTCTGATTTTTTTTAAATGGCAGCCTGGAAGAAACATCTGTATCCGTTCCGAAATTTATTCCATAAACCCACACACAAAAGAGAGGGGAGAGGCTAGATATTCACTCTATTGTTCATTTGGCCACTAATGAAGCTGGCTTGATTTTCAGTAGTAAAAGCCACTAGAAACTGGGAGCAGGTCTGGCTCTTCAGTTTATGGTGATTATAAAACAATTACAACTTTTGTCTCCCTAAACATAACCATTCCTGAAGCTTTACGCTTGAAGGCGTGCTTGGAAGAACTGCTGTTCTGTTAGGCTGTACTCCAAAAAAAAAAAAAAAAAACGGAATTAATTTCAGTAAGCATGTTCTCCCACACATACATTTTCATAAGAGCTATTTTACTGGTATGCACATTAAGCTAATCTATGTATTAGGAATGGTTTGGCTTTGGAAACCAAACTGGAAAATGAACACATGGTGAATACCTACAGAAGGGTCCATAGATGAAGAAACATCTCGAGATGGCTGTATCCCCAGTCATCCTTCCACTACATATATTTAACTGGACATCTGGTAGAGCCTCAAGTGAGGAAGTTGGGAAATAAGAAAGCTACTGTAGAAATTAGTGATAATGGATTCTTAAATTGCATTAACCAGGAACAGTATGTCAAATCCTGACAAATAATAGGTCCAGCTATGCTTTACCAGCCAGCCTGCATTTAAAATGATGTGTCCAATTTGGGGTACTATATCTTTAGAAGGGCAAGGAGAATCTGGAAACTCTTGTGAACAAATATTGGAAGAGTTCTATTTATTGAGCCTCGAGAAGAGAAGATGAAGAGGAGACATGATTGTGGTTTCAGACATCAGACAGCTAGTCAGAGAAGAAGCAGACTTATTTTCCACTCTGCTAGCCAACAGGACCAGCATTAATAGATCTCATTTGTAAGGAACAAATTTAAGCCAAAAATTAAGAGAAACTTCCTAACAATTTTAGCACTGTTAAGCAAGCCAAGTCTAAGAAGGTGGTAAGATCTCATCCTGAAGCAGAGGTTCAGGGATGTCTCAGAGATTGTCATGGTAGAAAAACCTGTTACACAGTGCACAGTTATACAGATTAGATTAAAATCCTATGGTTTGGGGTTTTTTTTTCAATTTTCATCTCAATATTGTTCAAGCACCAGCTTTTGAACAGGCACAGAGTTGCTCCTTCAACTCAACCTGAGCAGATGCTCCAGAATTTAAATACTGTAAGCATTAAACTTTGCCAAGTTTCTCAGAATGTAAGGTGAAACATATTAATGTTAAAAATGTTATCCTTTTCTTGCCAGCTTCTCTAAACATCTCAGGAAATTGAAGAGAGATAGGAAATGTGCCAGGAGATTCCAGGAGGCCTTTACTGTTGTCCTCTCCCATTGTTGAAGCCCCATCAGAACTTTAAAAAATAGAGAAGAGAGTGGTGACGTGTCATGAGTTCATCACAGCCAAGTGTGCAGTAACTATTTCAATACAGCAATAGTTATTTATATAACCAGGAAGCTGTCCAAAGGTAGTTCATCAACCTAGTACTACAGCTTCCTGGTTTGGTCATTTCCCTTGTCAAAGAGAAATATGTGGTTTGTTTGTCTAATGTTAGATGCACACAATGTCCTACAGCCCTGATGGGGAGGGGTTTGTTCCTGAGGAATGAGGTTTGTAAATTATGGAGCAACAGCAAACTGCAAAGTTGGGGCTTACAGCTGGCATCCGAGGGAAGGACGGAGGTGTAAATTGGGCAGGGTCTGATAACAGCCATCTAGGCAAGAGGGATTTCCCAGGAAATGGAAAAGTAAAGAAGGAAAGGTAAAGAAGGAGTAAAGGAGGGGAATATGAAGGTGCCTTTATACTTTACCCAGGATGGAGAGTGGGGCCTTTCAGTGGCTATTTTCATGCAACACATTTAAGCAGGTCAGGTAAAGCCCTAGCTGATGCATTTGCACAACATGTTAAACTTGGTTAGTTTTAACAATGATCAGTTTTGGGGGCGGAGTTCTGGATGCAAATGCAGGCCGTTCAATTAATATATGGTTCCATGTGTGGTCTGAACCCATAAAACATGTTAATTCAATAACTCAGTTCAGCTTGTTGGGTCAATGCAGTCAATGAATGGCTTTAGAGCAGTGTTTCTCAACCTCGGCAACTTTAAGATGAGTGGACTCAGACTCCCAGAAACACTGCTTTAGAGAATCAAAAGACAGTAAGACCCCAAAGATAATTAGGTGACAAGGGTGATGGCAGCAGAATCTTGTACAAAAGGGAAGCAGAAAAGTTGGTGGGGACCGCATATTGAGAAGGAAGCTAATGGAGACATGGGATATTCAGTTGCAACAAGGAACAAGAATCAGGGAGTTGCTCTCCTGGTGCCATAGGAGCAGCTGGTGATAGAAGAGGAAAAGGGATGTTGCATATGTAGGACTTCCTCTCATGAGACCAAGTGAGTCCTCTGCTCAGGTGGTAGTTTGAAAAAGACAGCAGGTCAGGGCTAGGCCTGCGGATCCTTCCTGCTTGGTGGCCTTGCTCTCAGGACTTCATGGAAGGACACATAGAGGAAAGAGAACGCTGAGGAAGGAATTTATCAAGGGAAGCACTCATTAAAACATCATAAAATCTCCTTCAAATCAAGTTCAACACTTAATGATTTCGTGGCATCGATATCTGGTAGAAGCCAAAGAGGAATCATGCATGTCATGACATATTATACAAATGACATGAATTAAGTATTTTGTTTTTCAGTTGTGCCAAGACATACAGTACTTCATTTATGTCATTTGTGATGATGTCATGATGCACCTTTCCCACCTTGCCATCCCTCCAGTTTCTTAACAAAGTAGAAGTGGTTTCCCACCAGCTTCTTCCAGAATATTGTTTTTCCAATCCCAGTGTACCCTACAACCTCAGCCTTCTATCTGACTACTGCCAGACCTGGCCTCTGCTTAGCTTCTGAATCCAAGCACGGTCAACCAGGTGCTTCCACTTCCTAAAACAAGGGGGGCACTAAAGGGAGGCAAATGGAGGCAGAGAGAATGAGAAACTGGTCCTCCAATTTTAGGGGAGACCAACTGCTGTTTATACCTGCTTCTTCATAGAGGTTAAAAGGAGTCCTATCATAAAGAAGAAAGAAGCAGATGGAAGCCAAGGGCGATGCCTACAGCTCCATGGACGTTCCTTCTGAGTTTCTGGATCACATTCTTTAGAAGACAAAGTTCTCTGTGCCACGAGGCCTGCCCTGAATTCCCTAAATTAGTTTCCAATAGAAGCGAATATGTGTAGCTCAGGGTTGAACTGTGGAGTCCTTGCGGTTCTCTGAGCTTGGCTGTTTTCTTACAAACGTTTCATTGCAAACGTTTCGTTATGTTAATGTTTCGTTAAATTAATTTTCTGCCCTCAGATGAAGTGTAGGACTCTGAGTTGAGGTTAAATTCAACAGCAGGGTGTACATGGGGTGGGGACAATAAAAAATGTTGCTATGGTAGTTGCAACCATATAATTGAAGTCGTACCCTTTTTTATATGTGCCATCAGAGGTATCTGCAGGGTATGGTCAAAAAAGTCAAGATGGCACGCATAACAGTGCGATCAAAGGCCTGCCTGTGCAACACACACAAAAAACAGGCAGAGCTTTGATCGCCTCATCATGGCCACCATCTTGACTCTTTAGCCATACCCTCTGGACACCCCTTGGTGTTGCGATGCACATGAATGGGGCCAGGCTTCAATCATGCCATTGTAGCCACCATTTTGACTTCTTTAAACTCTTCCCCCTCCTGCAGTCGCCCCTGATTCCCAATCCAATCTACACCTATACCTAGAATGAGGAAGGGCACCATTGTGACCTTTTCCTCAGGCAGAAATTCAAGACCAAATTCAAGACCGTAAACAAGAGGAGTGATACAGTGGAGGCCCAATGCATAATAGCAGAAGAGCTATTTAAATCCAGTGATCAAGTCAACGTTGCTGCAAGGCATTGTCCACAGACAATAGCCCTGTCACCAGGGATGGGTCACCTGACCCCGGCTGGCATGAGTCATTTTCTAAAGCAGCCGCGG